GATGTACTGTCATCCAGGCTTTGTTGTTCCATCCATAGAGCACAGGAAGAGTAGATTTAGTATAATTCTTAATGGCACTAGGATTTTTGAAATGATAAATGAGCATTGGCTTCAATTTAGGAAACCAGCTATATCCCTTAAAAAGAGTCAGCCTGTCCTTTGAAGCTTTGAAGCCAGGCATTGTTTTCTTCTCTTTAGCTATGAAAGTTCTAGATGGCATCTTTTTCCAAAATAAGACTGTTTCATCCACAATAAAAATCTATTACTTATTGTAGACACCTTCATCAGTGTTCTTGGATTTTCTGGATAACGCTGCAGCCTCTATACCAACACTTGCTGCTTTATCTTGCACTTTTATGTTATAGCCAATCTCTGCTGGCTTCTGACTTTTCTTCTGCAGTTTCTTCACATCTCTAGGGCTTTGTATAATTAAAGAGCATAGGGACCTTGTTCTAGATTAGGCTTCTGCTTAAGAAAATGTGCTGTCTGGTTTGATCTATCCAGACAACTAAAACTTTCTCCTTATTGGAAACAAGATTCTCGCTTTCTTGTCATTCCTGCGTTCATTGTAGTAGCACTTTTAACGTCCTTCTAAACTTTTCCTTTGCATTCACAACTTGGCTAACTAGTTGTTGCAAGATCCTCCCTTTCATCTTGTCTTGGCTTTTGACAGTCCTTCTTCACTAAATCGTTTTTACCTTTTGATGTAAAGTAGGAGACATGTGACTCTTCCTTTCATTAGAACACTTAGAGGGTATTGTAGGGTTATTAACTGGCCCAAATTTAATATTCTCATATCTCAGGAAATAGAAAAGCCTGAGGAGAGGAAGAGATAACTGGGGGCATGGCCAGTGAGTGAAGCAATCAAAACATTCACAACATTTGTCAAATAAGTTTGCCACTTATTTTTCCCATAACAGCCCCAAATAATTGGATCAAAGTAACACCACCAAAGATCACTCATCACAGATCACCATAAAAGATATAATAAAATCTTATTACATATTTATAATATCTTATAGATATTAAAATATGTTATAATACTAAAAACTACAAAATATTGCTAAGATTACCAAAATATGACACAGAGACACGCAGTGAGCACGTGCTGTTGGGAAAATGGTGCTGATAGACTTGCTCGATGCCGGATTGCCACAAATTGCCACTCAATTTGTAAAAAAAAAAGATATGTATAAAGTGCAATAAAATGAGGTGTGCCTGTACATACACAACACCTAGAATAACATCTCATACTTAATCAGTTATCAAGAAAAACTTTATAAACTAATAAATTAACAAATATGAGGCAAACTTCAAGAAAAGTCCCATAGCCAATCCACATTTTCAACTTGATTGCCTTTCCCAGAACCCCCCACATGTTCTCTAGCATATATGGCATTCACACCATGACAAAGAAGAGGATTAATGCCTAATGATACCATCCAATACAGAAAATTTCCCATTATTATTTGAAATCCAGTAATATGCACATTTATTGTATTAATGACAAATATTTACAAATGCAAATGTTCTATGTTTCATTGTGTACTCCATTATAAAATTATTGAATAAATCTTTAATTTAGCTCAGTTTTCTCAAATGTAATATTAATGATATTGTAATTGATACATTTTAACAGTGTGTGATATGATGAGGAATCTACAGTGAAAATTAAAATACAATAAAATGCTTTGGAAAAGTCCTTTATTATTTATTAAATAATAAAACTTGAAAGTCAAAATTACTCTTTGATACATGGACTGCAGGATGGATTTTGTATTAGCAGGCATGAAAACAGATCCTTCTTCACATCATGGACTTTTTGGGGTTGCCTGGAACCAGTGCAAATAAATCTGCCAGCTACATTACTTTCATGGACATTAGTATAAGGAATGTTGAACTTTCTGAGATCACTAAATTCAAACTTACTTCTTACTTCCAAACTAACATTCTTACTTCCAAAGCTAACATTCTCTGTATAAACCAATGCATTATTTCTTCCAGGAACTATGTACTTTACAAGTACATAGAAGTATTATTCTTTTATTTGTTATTTTAAGTTCAGGGATACATGTGTAGGTTTGTTACGTAGGAATTATTATTCTTAAATAATATGTGAATGCTTATTTTTAAAGCAACCGGTGTAATATAGTTATGAAATTACAAAGCTCCTTTTATTTGACCTTAAAAAAGTTCTTTATTAACAAATAGATTGATTCTCTATGATTGTAAGTGACTTGCTCAAACTCAAAGAGCTATTTGTCGAATAATTCGTACTTTAACTGGATCTTTTGAATTCAGTCTTTTTGTTGACTTCTAGGATATTTATGAATAAAATGAAAGTTCTTCTTATTTTTTATTTTATTTATTCCATTTTGCAGATGAAGAAAGTTCTCCTGATCACAGCCATCCTGGCAGTGGCTGTTGGTTTCCCAGTAAGTATCGATTTCTACATTCCAAAATATTTATGTATAACCATGTACCACATATTTCCGTCAACCAGGAACCGTATATACAAGGATGGTCCCATAAGATTATAACAGAGCTACAAAGTACAGTGGCTTATGCCTGTATTCCCTGTAATTTGGGAGGTCAAGGCAGAAGAATCACTTGAGCCCATAAGTTCAAAAGCAGCCTGGGCAACATAGCAATCCTACCTCTCTTAAAAAAATAAAAAAGAAAAAAAAATCATGATGAAGCTGAAAAACTCCTACCACCTAATGATACCGTAGCCATCATTATGTCATAGGGCAATGCATTAGTCATGTGTTCACGTGTTTGTGATGATGCTGATGTAAACAAACCTACCCTCTGTCAGTCACATAAGAGTAGAGCACAAAAAATTAAGCACAGTTCATAATAAAATAATAAACATTATTGTGTATTTATTGTACTATGGTTTGTGTATTTATTGTACTATGCTTTTATCATTATTTAGAGTTTACTCCTTCTACTATTTTTTTAACATTAACTGTAAAACAGCCTCAGACACGCCCTTCAGGAGGTATTCATAAGAAAGCATTATTATCATAGGAGATGAATGTTCCACGTGTCTAACTGCCCCTGAAGACCTTCCAGTAGGACAAGATGGGGAGGTGGAAAGCAGTGATATTGATGACCCTGACCCTGTGGAAGCCTAGGCAAATGTATATGTTTGTGTCTCAGTTTTAAACAAAATAGTTTAAAAGTAAAAAAGAAAAAGCATATAAAGTAAGGATATAAAGAGTGAAAGTATTTTTGTACAGCTGTAAAATGTGTTTGTTTTAAGCTAAGTGTTATTACAAAAGAGTTAAAGTAAAATAGTTATAGTAAGCTAAGGTTAATTTATTATCAAAGGAAGAAAAATACGTTTTTATAAGGTTAGTGTAGCATAAGTGTACAGTGTTTACAAAGTCCACAGGAGTAAACAGTAATATCCTAGGCCTTCATATGCAATAACTCACTCACTAACTCACACAGAGCAACTTCCAGTCCTGAAAGCTTTATTTATGGCACGTAACCTATATAAGTGTATAGGTATAAAGTGTACCATTTTCCATCTTTTGTACTATATTTTTTACTGTACCTTTTCTATGTTTAGATATGTCTTAGATATTTTTAGATACATGAATACTTACCATTGTGTTACAACTGCCTACAGTATTCAGGATAGTAATAAGCCATACAGTTTTGTAGGCTAGGAGCAAGAGACTATACTATCTAGCCTAGGTATGTAGTAGGCTATACCATCTAGTTTTGTGTAAGTACACTCTATGATGTTTGTATGATGAAATCATTGAACTACCCATTTCTCAGAACTTATCTCTGCTGTTAGGCAATGCATGACTGTATATTTTGTCTTGATTCAAGAATCTTCAGGGTTTTTTCTCCTTCACATGCTGTATTCTGTAAGAATACCTAACACACATGCCCTTTTATCATTACACTCCAGAAAATATTATAAACCATATACCATTCAGTGCATAATTCAGTTCCACATATCTTTGGTATAGTGGTGAATCTGAGCCATTTGAGAATACATATTAAGACTTTTCAGGAAAATCATTTCTACATTTTCTAGACAAATTCTGGGTATTTTAAAAAAATGGTTATTATGAAACAATATTAGGTAATAGATTGTCAAATTATTTCCCTCATGCATATGTATATATTTATTTGTGTGTTTTCATGAGCATGAGTTTAATTAACTTCACTGTTTGACCATTAGGTCTCTCAAGACCAGGAACGAGAAAAAAGAAGTGTAAGTTACCTTTTCTCTTTTTTACATGTAAGTTTTATGTGTGAAATATTCATAACTGTTGTTAAAGATATTGATTTACCTAAACCTCCCAAACTGTGGAGAGATTCATAAAGAGATTTTGGTATTAGCACTCAACAGAGGTTTAGACTTCAGGGATGTGAGCTCTGCCCATAGAAAGGAAATTATCTCCATATCTCATATCACGGTAAGAATTGGATTGAAATCCAAATCATTCTGTGACGATTTGGGTTACAATATTTTTTTCTAGATTTATCTAGCCTAATAACTCAGGCCTCCATAAGCTAAGGCAGAGGCCTTAGCTCTATGAAACTCATTTCAAAAAAAGTAAAAAATGAAACCTGAGCATTAAGAGATGTGGGCCGGCTTTGATGATCCTCCCAGTGGCAAATTCGCTCATGGATTATTTGAGTCTAAACAGTTAACTAAAATTGTTTAATAAAAAGAAAATAAAATTCGAAGAGGGAAAGCCTTATTTAAAGATTTGTTTTTATTTATGGAAATCCTATTATCTGGAAAGCATGATTTCATCGCAAAAACTACAGAGAGCTAAGAATACAAAAACTAATAGAGATACAGACAGATAATTGAGAGAGAAAGCAGGAAGAAGGAACTGAGATACTGAAAGAGAGAGGTTGTTTCCCACATGTGGTTTGGGTAAAGAACTTGTATGAAGGCAAAGGGAGAAATTTTATGGTACTACAACACCACATTCATCTTGGCCTTGTAGGTAAAGAAGTAATTGCCAGAAAAATTTGTCTTTATTTTGTGGCAAGATACAAGGTGGAAAGATACAAGAACATACCTTTCTAAATAATTTTTAAATGATGCAAATTAATAAACTCCCTGTCCATAGTACACACAGAAAGGATAAAGTATTTTAGAGCTTCTAAAGCCTCTTTCTAAAAATAAAGGCCCATTATTTAAAAAAACAAAGCTGTTCAATTTCTCTTCTTTGTAAAAAGTAAAATAAACCCTTTAACTTCTTTCTTTCAACAGGTCAGTGACAGCGATGAATTTTTTTCAGGGTTTCTTGCGTTCCCTTACCCATATCCATTTCGCCCATTTCCACCAATTCCATATCCAAGATTTCCAAGGTTTGGACGTAGTTTTCCTGTTCCAATACCTGAATCTGTCCCTACAACTCCCCTTCCTAGAGAAAAGTAAACAAGAATGAGAAGTCACAATAAAATTGAAGATGAAATATGTGGTAAGTACACATAGTTACAATCATAGTTTAAGTTTGCAGATTGGAATCCATAATTTCAAGGAAAAAGAAATGTTAACTATGTCCCCAGTTGGCCCCTTTAAGTTTCAATTTGTTTTAATGTTTTTCTCTGGTAGATACCGTCACGTGTGTCCACTCAGATACACATATGTGCCCTTCCATGATCTAATCAGCACAGCACTTTCAATCCCTCCTTTGTTGTGATGTAACAGAAACAATCCCTATGTTATTAAAATACTGTTTACAAAGTGTTTGTAACTCTTTATACTATTGTCAGTAACTGCATTTTGGACTGAATCAGAGTAACCAAGGTGGAGATCATAGTAGATGAATTTATGGGCCTAGAGTTTAAAGTAGACTTCGGCTTAGTCCTTAGAGAACCATGTAATTTTTCTAATACTAAAATTCCAAACTTAGCTTCCGAATGTCACATTATAGTAAAAAATTTTAAAGGCTTCATGCTTCACCTATAACAGTGACCCCTGTCATTTCATCACATCAAAAACAAAGTGGATGATGTGTCAATTACTAGATAAATTGAGGAAATATAGTCTATACCATAGACTATAGATCTAATCCACTATAATAATTTAAAATTTAATATATATAAAATAGTCTTATCTAAGATTAAATTAGAACCCAGAGGACTGTTCTAGGAAACAAAATATTTCAGATAATACTTACCACTAAAGACCTTTGCTTTCTTTTTACATCTACTCAGTGTTCTTGAGCAGATGGTTTCCCAGTCCTTGAACTAGATATATTTTTAAGCCAATAGTTGTCATTAAAATGCAGAAAATGTACATGTTTCCAAAAAAATAACCCATTGGAATTAATAACCTTATGTCTGTTATTTATTTCAGGTCACCTAAAATTAAATGTGAGCCACTTCTTTGAAGAATCAAAATTCCTGTTAATGAAAGAATAACAAATGTAATTGAAATAGCACACAGCATTCTCTATTCAATATCTTTAGTGATCTTCTTTAATAAACATGAAAGCAAAGGTCTTGGTTTCTTAATTTCCACAAATTCCATGATAAGTACTTGATTTGTTTTCAATCTTCAGCAATATCTTGAAGAAGGAAGAGGTGGCAGATGGTGATAATAACAAACTGTCCTACAGCATGTGACAAAAGTCATCCAACAAGATTCTACTTGCACAATAAGCCTTTCAGTGGGTCACAATGACTGCCTTTGTCTCCACAAGCTGATTATCAGGAAATTAGAAAAATTCTCTTTGAATAAAGATTGTGTTTCTTCACCTTAAGTTTAAATTGTTCATAGCTGAGACCCTTAGCATCAACAATGGAAATTCTGCCATCATTCATCCATAACTGGCTACAAATCAAAGTCAGCCTAATGAGCCACTTGGCACTTGACTAGGGAAATGGCTGACTCCCTTGATCACTTTCAGGGATTACAGGTACCTCAAACATTTAAATATTTCTTGGTATTAAAGTCAGTGATCCCAATTGAAATATGGGAAAGACAACAAGAAAACCAAACAGTCGTCAATACAATTTGGTAAATTAATTTTATAGGCATTGTTTCCTAACTTCACAGCTGACAGATTGGAGGCAACTGCATGACCAGGGAGAGACAGTCATGGGAAAATAAGATAGAGGGGCAGAGAGACAAAGGCAATCAGAGCCCTGAAGAGGGGCCAAAGACAAATGGTTGCTCTGAAATGTGGAAGACTCAGCTCTGCAAGTAATCTACTGTGCCACTAATCTACTATCTAATCTAATCTATCCCAGTTTTTTGTTTCATTAAAAGTCCTTGACATCTCGTCTTAACTCTCAGAGCTTTTATTTCATCTGCCTCATTTTGTGTCATAACAACTTTCTGAAGAAAAACAACTCTGTCATCTACTTTAACTGCTAGATTTGTTTCTATTAAAATTAATTAACTATTTCCCCCACCCAGTGAATTTGGGCATTATTCTTGAATACTATAGGTAAATATAAAACAACAGGGAATATTTGTGTATTTACACATAGAAAAATACAGTAAAATATGGTATAAAAGATTTTAAAAATGGTACAACTATATAGGGTACTTACCATGAGTGGAACCTAGAGACCTGGAATTTGCTCTGGGTGAGTCAGTGAGTGGTGATTAAATGTGAAGGCCCAGGACATAAATGTACACTACTGTGAACCTTATAAATACTGCAAACTTAGGCTACACTAAATTCATGAAAACATATTTTTCTTTCTTCAATAATGAATTAAGGTATAAAAATATCTTTAGAGTATAAAGATACAACAAAAGATACAATACATTTTTATTCTTTATATCTTTATTCTATAAGTTTTTTCTACTGTTAAATACTTTTTTTACTTTTAAACTTTTTTGTTTAAAACCAAGACACAAACATACATATTAGCTTATGCCTAAACAGGGCCAGGATTATCAAGACATTCCTAGCAACAAGAGTTTTTCAGCTCCATTATAACCTTATGAGATCACCATCATAGATAGTTAGGCATTGACCAAAACATTGTTATACAGCACATGACTATACTTACTTTTTGTCAATTGTTGTGCTAAATACCGGAGATTTGGAGAAAATATTGTTTTGCTAAATACTGGAGATTAAGAAAAAAGATTCTCTTTAATGATCTTACAGGTTAGATAGGGGAGATAAACATATACAAAATTTCAAGAAATGTAATAAATGCTCCAAAAAAGTACAGAGCTTTTTGTTTTAAAGCAGAGGAGAAACTAGCTCTGCCTACACAAATTAGGAAAGGTCCCACAGGTGACTTTGAGTTGAACTTTAATGGATAAATAGGTTACTGACGGGGAAACAGGAACAAATTCGATGCTCAATAGACATTTACTAGATAAGCTCTACACTCAAATTGATATTTTTGTTTGTCGCTTTTGTTTTCTTTTTGTTTTATATTTTATTGAAAATGGGTATTTTTAATGATGTTTATTTCCATTAGACAAAGATAAAAGAGCAAAAGATGGGAGTAAAATACTTTAAAACATATTTCTAATAAATATATAAAGTTCTATTAATCTTAGGAACAACTCTAACCTGAGAAGCAAAAGATAAACATCTTAATAATATTCTTGTTCACTAAATAACATTTCTATCAATTTTTCATGCAGATACAGAGTAAAGATAACCTCATGAGTCATTTCCTTATGAAAACAGCTAATATATCTAGGAGACAGTATTTATTTAGGATTCTATGTCAATTCAATAATGCCCGGGCAGAGTTGAAACCTTGGCCAAAGCCATGGGCATCAAACCAAGGTAGCTGAAGGACACTAACAGCAATACAGCGAGGCAAACAGCAAGGCATGGACCACCTATTGGATCCTCCCCACAATTGCTTAAGGAAGCATCTACTTTCCCCTCAAGTATCCAAGACTTTAGCACGGGAATGAAATAAGAGCAGAGAGACACACTGAATTCTAACTGTGGTCACTCTAAATGAGAGCCCAGCTAGAGACCAGCCTCCCCAACACTCAGGGGAAGGTCAGTTCTAATACACTCACAGGAAAACAGAGCCCAAAAAAATCCATTCTTCATCTACATGTTCTAACTCTTCTATGAAGTTAGAATTCAAGGGGAAAACAGATAATATGCCTGCCCATTTTAGACATTCTTCTTGACTAGGTTCTGGCCTCATCCAGAGGAAAGTAGTAATTCCAAAACATTGATCTGCATAAAAAATTATTCAGTTTCTTATTTGTTATTCAGATTTCTAGGAACTTTCCTGCTCTGAAAATCTTGACTCTGTGTTGTGGGGTTAGGCAGGAATTTGCAACTTAAACAAGTAGTACAGAGAGTTAATCATTTGCTCAACGAGTATGTGTCTAATATGTGCCAAGCAAAGGTTTAGAGACTGGGACCATTATTTTCTAGTGTAAAAGGACAGGAAATAGTAAATGAACACATATAAGTAAAAAAAAAAAATTATATTGTAATATGAGGAAAATAAAAGGTAAAATAATAAAATGATGAAGAAGTATTTAGACAAAGTGCCAAAGAAAGCCTCTCTGAAATGAAGACATTTGAGGTGAATCCCAAATAATACAGGGAACATTTCTGAGAATTGAGGTAAGAACATTCCAGGGACCATGAATATAAGTGGAAGTTCCTGATTTAGGAAAGAATTTGGCACATTTAGGAACAGAAAAAGGTCATTGAAACCAGCACACAGTGAGAGTAAAAGGGATAGAAGTTAAGGTGAGATGGATAAAGAGAGACCGAATTATTTAGAAATGGTCCGTGGTAAAAAAGTTTGAATGTATTGTAAGTGCCTAGGAATCCATTGAGAATTTAAGTAGAATAATTATCATGTCAGATATATGTTAAAAACACTTTTATAACTGTGTAAAAAATGATTATAGGGTGATAAGAGTGAAAGTAAAGAGACCAAAAACAGAAATATTAGGATGGTTCAGGTGTGACACACCAGTGGTTGGGACTAAAGCAACAAAGGTCAGATTAGAAAGTGGTATCAGATTTGGGGTATATTGTTGAGATAGAACTAATAATTCTTCTAACAGGTTGTTGCAGGGATGAGAGAAAAGATGACCTATAGGAGTCACTAGATGGCCCTTCAGTCACTAGTAGTATCATGGCTCTGTTTACTAAAGGAGAAAAGAGATTAGTGGAGAACTAGTGAAACAGGGTATGTTTGGAAATAAAAGATTCTGCTTTGTTCATGATAATTTGGAGATGTCTATTTTACATTCTAATGGAGATTTTAAAATAGCTATTGGATACTTGAATCTAGATTTCAGTGAAGGCAATAGCCTATTGATGATACTTAAGGTTACAGGAATTGAGTACATCAACTAGAAAGACATTAAAGATAGAGGGAGAAAAGATAGAGTGGTGGTGGATGCTGGAAGAATTTTTAAAAGTTCTCCTAAATTTAGAGTTTGAGGAAAATAAGAGGAACCAAAATGAAAATTAAGAGCAGCTTTAAGTGATTCGAGGGGAAAAAAAAGGAAGGAAAAGTCAAAAAGTTTTACCAGTCAGAAAAATGAATCACCATGCCAAGAGTTGCTAAAATATTGAGTGGGAAAAATATCTAATAGCTCCCATTAGATTTGGCTACACAGAGATCGTTGTTGATCTGGCTGTTTATTTTGAATGGTAACAAGAATGACAAGAATGAAGTAAACATAGGACAGGATTATAGGGGCCTTGGGATCATGTTGGAGAAATAACACTTTACATAAATTGATTATCCTTTGTATTTTTAAATCTTTATATTTTAATGGTTTCAGAAATCTTTGCACCCTAAAACTCACTGAGGAATAAATTAATGTGTGTGTTAATGCTAAAGTCATAATGACACTCACTTTAGGCTCCAGATGACATACAATGTCTCCTCACAATCTCAAAATAGTCTTTCTGTAAGTGTTCAGGAGAAAACACTATCTCCTTAGAAAATCTCCTCAAACAGAGATTGTGGCTGTCTATTATACTCCCAAAAGTACTTTATTTCTAATACAAACAGTTTGTATCTGCATTGTTTGTTTAACAGAAGTGGCTACAGGAGAGTAAAATTTTGATATTCCACTTTGCTCTAGTTTGTTGACCATTTTTAAGAGCATCGTACGCTATTTTTTCCATGGTTTTTACATATAGCAAAGATTGTTGAAGCATACAAATTTCTACACTAAAGTATCAATTTTCAGATGCCTTACTAATCCTATGGAAAGCTGTGTTTGTCATTTACATTGCAGCTACTGTTACAGACATTATTGTACTTCAAGAACAAAATAGAGTGTTGAGGTCAGCCTGGTACTAATGAAGTGGCCGATAAATAAAATGAGACAGAAAAAATAAAACTACATGCATATAAATACCTTCAAAGGAAGATAAAATAGACATGATGTACATTTCAAATGTAAGAAACATTAACAGAGTAACAAGTTGTTACTAATAAAAGAGTGTATATGAGTCAATAATCATCATGTCACTTATTGCAAAATGTTTTTGTTTATAATGCTTAAAATGTGAACTTATGTACCCACAATAGCCTCTTACCCAGTCCCACTGTGTGAATGGTGGTATGAATATACACTGATTATCAGGACCTAAACAAAGGGAAGTTGCAGCTGGACTGAGAAGCCTGTTGGTTCTCTTCCCATAATCCAGGGATATTCCAGCATCAGGCCATGCCCCCTATTGATGGATGCATAACTAGATAAAGACTGATGGATTCGTTCCAAATTATAAACACTCTCAGTTTGGAGGCCTTGTTCAGCACTATTGCAGCTTCCTTGGAGATTTCAGATCAGGAGAGTTCTGATCCTCCTTTTGCTTCTCTTTGGAAAACACAAGAGCATTGGATAGCTCCATTATAGAATCCACCTAGTTCATCTACTCCAGTCACTCAAAACACTTTCACTAAGATTGCCTTAGATCAGTAGATATGGGAAATACCCAATGTTACCAGTATTCAAGTAAATTTTAGACTACGAGCTCCACAAGAACAGAGATGTTTACCTGCTTTGGTACTAATTTATCCCTACTGCCTGAAACAGTACCTGAAATAAAGTATGTGCTCAAAGAATAATGTCCAGTACCTAAAATAATGTGTGTGCTCAAATAATAATGTCCAGTTTTGCAAAGCCCCACAAAAGCTACATTAGTGTTTGAAGTGAATGGATGATACCATGGTAAACATGTTTTTATCTTAGTGGGAGAAAAGATTATTAGCACTCTCAGGTGTTCTTAAAATATATTTTCCTGTGAAAACAATGTCTTCAGAAGTGTTCTGAGTGTCTGCTACTTGTAAGTTAAATAATTCAATACTCAACTGAAAAATCATTAACACTCATGATTTTAAATCAATGGCTGAGAAATTACTATGTGAAATAGAACACCTTCAAAATTTAGGAATGACCAGATCATAGTCTTTCAACCATGGACCCTGAGAATCAAAGGAAAACACTGTGACTAAATAGTTCAGATAGAATGGCTGGTGTTATTACTTTAGCAACTTGGTGTAGCAATTTTAAATTCTGTCATCTCTTTTTGAACTGCAAAAACCAACTATTCTGAGAAACAGAAAATCTCATTTTACTCTGTGTAATCCAAATAAGTATTCTACGGTTTAGAATATTGTTCCTAACTTTCTAAGACATGCAACAGTTCTAAGAAACAGATAGGAACATAGACATAATTACAATGCTGATATTATTTCTTGTTTGTGTTCTGGCAGTCTTACATTAATTCCTGTAAGTTCCTCAATCTGGTCAGTTCTTCACAGGCAAAATGAAGTCACAGTTAACATTATTTCTTGAGAAAAACAAGTAAAAGAAAATAATTCTTTCCTGAATTATCTAAACAAAATTTTTGTTTAGCTATTTTTTGCCAAAATATTCACAATGTCAGTGGGTTTGTGATGTATGCTCTAAGTCAAAATGACTTTCCTTAAAACAGAACAAATATCTCCAATTCAATAATTTAATAATGTTTTTTCAAAATGGTTCACCTATATTAATGAAATTTAAAATCTTAAAAATGTTTATTCATGAGAAAATAATAAATCACTAAGTATTTAGTCAATGCATATGGGAGAAAATGTGCTGCAGCTCAAATGCAAATAGTTCCCCACTTTACACCGATTAAAATGTTTCATATACGGGTTTTACCTTTATAAGGAGGTGCTCTTGGGTATGTGTGAGATGGCCAATTATTTAATTTTTAAAAATCAATAATTGTAATTCTGGAAGGAAGAAGACCAACCACAGTCTATACTAGATGCAGTATCACTTGAAATCCAGGTTCTTAAACTAAAAGAAACAATTAAAATGTGAAAGTATTGTGACTATTTTTCATTTCAACAGCAGTTTTAAGTTCAAATACATAGGATAAGTTGAATAAGAATACAATTAATATTTTTTAAAATTCTTCTATATTTCTTTATAAAACAAAAAAGATTGTTTAAAAAGATATGAATACTCTTTTTTCAAGCTTTATGAGTGATGACTTTACATCCTTCTCCGCATTTCATTAAAAAGGATTGACCCAAAGGTGACCCTGCTGTCATCAAATCTTTCCTTTCTGTCATCATCTTATTGGGTAAAAAGTAGGAGGGAAACAGAATAGCGTGACTCAAGGTACTAATATCCTTTCATTGGTCTGGTCTTCAGTTATTTATCTTGGGTCTTCTCTGCAGCTGACAAGCCAACTCAACCTACTGCCAACCAAGACCTGACTGGCACGAGGAAAGGTAATGCTGCTGAAACACCTGAGAAAAGAAAGTGATTATTTTCACAGTAGTTAGTTGGGACATCACCATAGTTATTTCAGAATCACATTTTCTTCCTTTTAGTTATTGTTAAGCTTGAATATGACCTAGCATCACTTTAAAATTAATTTCTAACCTAAACCTAAGTTCTGAATGGTGTTATGATCAAATTTATTTTTAACTTTAATCTGGGTTCCAGTCGAATTCTGACACCAGCTAAATCATAGTAGACATTGTGAATTCCGAACAAAAAAGGCGTTTAACATATTCCTACAGACAAACGTTGAGAGTTAATTCCTCAGGAAGTTGGACTCATGATAATAATCGCAATTGATCCCTTAATAACTTTCAAAATTTATTTCTATAAAAGTCATAATTTTATGTGTTATGGAATAATAATTTTTTTAAAACATGTCTTTCAAATACTCATGAAAGCTGTATAACTCTACCATTTCACAAACTATTTCTTCTTACCAAGTGATGAGGGCAAATGCAAATGTAGCTGATATGCAAAGTATGGTCTTATCTCTGTAATTTTTGTTTGTGCCAAAAACAAATTACTATCATTTTATAGAATATTTTCTTTTGTTTACATATCATTTTACTGTGTGAATTGATAAGGGGTCTGTGATTCATCATGAAAATATTTTCAGTCTATAATCCTAAAAGATCACTAGCAAGTGAAGCATTAATAAGGAGCTTCATCCCACTTAAAGAAATACGAGTTTTCTTAGATTGTTCAAATTGATTACAAATGAGTTCCATCGAATGGAAATTGGATGACATCATATGGGCAGTTTTGAAGTCACTTCAGTAGACAGCCTTCCTAATCATTATTGCCTGAGAATCAGATGCTAATGGAGTACAATGTGCTTTCTATCCCCTATCTGAGACTTTAATTCTGTGAATCTTTTTTGTAAAGTTCAAGTTTGTGGTGATTTAAGTTTATATGAGTATATCAATAACAATAGCTGCAACAAGATGAAGTTAGTAATTACTTCCTAAACATAATATATACTTAAATATAAAAAGTTTGGGGTATCATATATTATTATTGTCTAAAAAGATGATTTATTAAAAATCAAATAAGAAGGTATGACACTGTATATACTCTTTTAGAAAAATAAGGTTAATTTATTTCTTTAAATATTTTAGTCAAAGCCACTGTATCATCTCTATATTTCCTATTAAAACACTCGAGTTAATCATATCGGTTATGATTATTAGAGAAGCATGTTATAAAGGAAACAGTTTCATAACCCTCCACTTCCCGTTCCATCCTACATACTTCTGTTGGATTGATCATGGAATTACAGAATTTTAGAAATCTCTAAGTTCAAACCCTAGTTTTACAGGTAAAAAAATGTAAAGCCCAGGAAACGGAAATCACTTGATCAAAGTTACAGAGGTAGAGAACTCTGGTCTAGAACTCAGTCCTCCAAAAAATGTATAGTCATACACTTTCTAGTCCGAAAACAATCAATTGTTTTCTGTTGTTTATAAAGCCATGCCTAGCTTTTTCACCCATCATTAACTTAAAGGTGTTTACTTTTTCTGCTCTAAACTTTCCTTCCAATCTTGTATTTCTCTTCTCATACAAGATTCCAATCAAATGTTCATGGTGATTCTCAAGACTTTCTCCTCTACTTGAAATACTTCTCTCCCTATTAAACCCTGCATAGGCAAGCCTCGCCTGTATGTCATTTTCCCACACAAAGACTGCTGCTTCTTTTAACTGAAACTTTTTTTAGTAGAAAACCACTTTTGTGGCATTTTCTACTTTTTTCCCTCTTACAGTTATTCGTGTATATTTCAACACTCTTCCTAAAATTGATGCTACTCATTGCATCATATTTACCTTGATAATCTCAACATTTGACATAGTAATGATAATTTTATAATTCCATTAATGCTGTCAAAAATTAAATTCAGAAATTTTTTTACTCCAAGTTTGAGTTTTTACATTCTTTTGTTAAAATAAATTTTTCACATTGGCTAAATCTACCTGTAAATCTGGCTTTTTTTCTTAATTAAAGCAAACATTGTATTCAAGTCACTCCTAAAATTCTAGTAACAAATTCTTCTAAATTAATTTTTTAAATGTATCTTTAGGTGCAATAATGAAGAGTTTTCTTCTAGTTGTGAATGTCCTGGCATTAACCCTGCCTTTTTTGGTAAGTTAATTTCATCTAACCAGTTTGTACTGACTTTAAGAAATTTTTATTTAAGGGCTCTAACTATTCAAATTTCTTAATACAGTTATACCTCATAGACCAAAATATCTACAAACTTGTTCTATTTTAAGGTTAATTTTTTAAATATTATTTCTATTATAAAATCAAAGTCATGTTCTTTTGGATATCCATTTAGTTCTGTGAATTAAGAAATCATAGTTAATCATATATAGGAAACTTTTAAAATTCTCATACTATAGAGAAAATACATTCTGTGGGGAAAACAATACTGAAAACATTTTAAAATTATAAATGCATTAAAGATAATTCAGAAAGAATAACTACAGAAATCATAGTCCGGGAATCAGAAATTATTTTAATTAAGTTCGTATCTCACCCAGACTCCAATGTCTTTATGGAAACAAAATCCTTCAAAGGTCAACTTTGATTAAGCTTTTTCACAAGTTTCAAAGACCTTGATACTTCTGCCTTTAATATTTGAATCATTATCTTTTGCTACATTCTTCTCCATTATGTCAATTGACTGACCCCTTTCCAGGGATCCGTGGCCATAAACAGCTTGAAGGTTTGCAGGCATTATCTTGAATTATATGTAATGTTTTAAGGCTACTGGACCTAGAAAAAGTTCTGGTTTTGTCTTTTAATTTTTTGACTTGTTTTTATTGTTGTTTTGGCTATTGCCTCTTTTTATTTTCATGTTCATCTGGGGATTCTAGGCACTCACAAAGGAGGCAAGCATAATAATGGTATATGTCCACCTCCTGAATTGTAAAATTTTGGGGAGCACTAGTCCTTGTTCTGTAAATCTCTGTAATATTTATTTATTATTAAGTTTAGACTTGCTTTTAAGTTAACATCTATTAATTAATTCTATTATCTGCATGTTGTGCCTATGTATAACATGTCTATTAACTCTATTAGGTCAATTCTTGGAGTCAAAATTACCTTTTAAAACTTTGAGTTCTACAACTCAGATACTTTGTGGCCACCTGAACATTTAGAACTTAGGTTTTCTCTTTGAGTAATAGGGCTTAAAGTTTAAATCATAAAATGATCCACAAATCCCCGCTGCATAGCAACCTGTTCCTGAGCTACCTGAGCCGGATTTGTCTTTCAAACATTCCTTCCCATTTTCACAAAGGCTTCAGGCCTCAGGGACATGAACAAATATACAGAAAAAAATAATTTAAGTTTATTGATTTTTACCATTCAATCTTATGAGCAGTCAAATTTATACAAATTAAAACATCAATGTGATACCATCTTTTATGTACTATTTTATCCCTTCCCCCAAAATGAAAAGAGTTAGATAATATTTTACTAGCAATTATGTACTAAACTGCATAAATACATAGCCTATTGGTGACATTTTAATTTGGCACAAATTTTCTGTACCACAATTTGATAATTTCTATCAAAGGATCGCTGAAAACTAATGACATTTGTGAAAAATCTTTTTAAGGTATTAATGAAAATTATTAAAAAGGCCACTGGTATACAGATGTTAATCATCTGTCTGTTTATAATTAAAATTTTATCTTAATAGATAACAATAAGAAATAAACATTTCACGACATAATCATTGACAACTTAGTTATCAACTATAAAAATGTAGGTATGAAACCTATGATATAAATTTAAAAAAATGAGATACCACATTTCTTATAAAAACGCAGGATACTTTTTAGACAAGCATATACCAGGAATACATAGCATAGGTTGATATTGCATTAAGGTATCCAGATTGTCAGAATTTTTTAAAGTATACTTTCTATAATATTCTATAATATTCATATTACTTCTGTAATATTCATATTACTTCTTTTTTTTTTTTTTTTTTTTTTTTTTGAGACAGAGTCTCACTCTGTCACCCAGGCTGGAGTGCAGTGGTACGATCTTGGCTTACTGCAACCTCTGCCTCCCAGGATCAAGCAATTCTCCTGCCTCAGCCTCCTGAGTAGCTGGGACTACAAGCTCCCGCCACCATGCCCAGTTTATTTTTGTATTTTTAGTAGAAGCAGGGTTTCACCATGTTGGCCAAGCTGGTCTTGAACTCCTGACCTCAGATGATCCACCCACCTCTGCCTCCCAAGGTGCTGGGATTACACAGTGAGACACCATGCCCAGACTCATATTACTTCTTTACATTTTAAACTAATGATTTAATATATTTAAAGAAAAGCAAGTCTTTGTCTTAAAGCAAGGAAACTTCATTACCTTCTCAAATTTCTGATTTTCTATACTCACACCTTCCAAAAGGTTTCTAGAGTCATTTTATACCCAACGAATACATGTGTAATGTCCTAAACCAGAACTGCCAATTTAAAACTATTTAATATTATACCTCCTTTCAAAAGTTTCTAAAAGCTTTGGAGTTTTTAGTTTTATAAATACATGTCCATAAAATTGTGTTCTCACTCCTGATTCTCTAAATATGTCACAATTCAAAACTAAGAAAAGCACTATAAAAACAAATGAAAGATGGTATTTAAAACACATATTTATATGTTAAGTTTATGCAAGAGGCAATATTTTAAATCTTCTAAGTAAACCTTATGAATCATCTTAGTATGAGAGCAGAGAAAGGAAAAAAGGCTCAATACTCCTCTAATTTTTAACAATGTATATTTAATAAAAACTGAATAGAAATTATTCATACTTTTCATTTAAGTGTATTGTGTATTTGCTGGCACAGTGGTCAGATGAATAGATTTTTCCCACAGTGACTTTTTCATTCTAGGTGGTTATATTTAAAGACAATATAAACATGAAGTTTATTATTACTAATCAGTTACACTACTGTTGCTTCTTAAGTAGTCCAACAAGCCTCATAGATCAATCATGAAAAATGTTTTAAAAAATAAAAAAAAAAACATATTTTGCCTTTAACGCAAAATTTTATTTAACTGATTTAAGTCTTCCTTTTTTTTTCTTACTTCTTCTGGAACTCCCTAGGCTGCAGAGGTTCAAAACCAGAAACAACCAGCAGTAAGTCTATTTCAATTATTTCTATTAGAGGCATGAACTGCAAAATATATTCTGTAAAGGTCAGTCATACTACAGATGCCTTCTGTCTAAAACTTAAATATTTCATCTCATTAAATAATCTAATAATATTTCCAAAATTCATTTCAGCAAAAGGTGATATGAATCAACATTGACGTTCTAGCTGAGAGTTTTGTTTTCTTATATAACCTGTCATGTATCTTTGGTTTTCAGGTATATTTCACAATATGAGAAAACTCTTTCAGCATTTCATATTGGAAAAAAATGAAAACATAAGTAAAGCTTAATATTTCCCCTTTCCACTTTTTAAGACAAGGAAAGGTCCTTCTCTGACCCCTCCTAGAATACTTCTCATACATCTATATTTACTTCCCCTTTTGTTCCCCACATATGTTTGAATACATTAAATATATCTCATTTTAGGAGTTTGCTTTGTAGTATAATTTTGCTGATTTATTTCTATTTATACGGAAAGGTCTACCAATGAATTTTTATGACAAATTTTTAAATAGAGGCACGTAGTTATAGACAATTCTTTTTTTTAAACATACCCTAAGTTCTAGGGTACATGTGCACAGCATGCAGATTTGTTACATATGTATACATGTGCCATGTTGGTGTGCTGCATCTATTAACTCGTCATTTACATTAGGTATATCTCCTAATGCTATCCCTCCTCCCTCCCCCCACCCCATGACAGGTCCCCAGTGTGTGATGTTCCCCTTCCTGTGTCCAAGTGTTCTCATTGTTCAATTTCCACCTATGAGTGAGAACATGCGGTGTTTGGCTTTTTGTCCTTGTGATAGTTTGCTGAGAATGATGGTTTCCACCTTCACCCATGTCCCTACAAAGGGCATGAACTCATCCTTTTGATGGCTGCATAGTATTCCATGGTGTATATGTGCCACATTTTCTTAATCCAGTCTATCATTGATGGATATTTGGGTTGGTTCCAAGTCTTTGCTATTGTGAATAGTGCTGCAATAAACATACGCGTGCATGTGTCTTTATAACAGTATGATTTATAACCCTTTGGGTATATACCCAGCAATGGGATGGCTGGGTCAAATGGTATTTCTAGCTCTAAATCCTTGAGGAATTGCCACACTGTCTTCCACAATGGTTGAACTAGTTTACAGTCCCACCAACAGTGTAAAAGTGTTCCTATTTTTCCACATCCTCTCCAGCACCTGTTGTTTCTCGACTTTTCAATGATCACCATTCTAACCGGTGTGAGATGGTATCTCATTGTGGTTTTGATTCACATTTCTCTGATAACCAGTGATGATGAGCATTTTTTTCATGTGTCTGTTGACTGCATGAATGTCTTCTTTTGAGAAGTTCATATCCTTCGCCCACTTTTTGATGGGGTTGTTTTTTTCTTGTAAATTTCAGTTCTTTGTAGATTCTGGATATTAGCCCTTTGTCAGATGAGTAGATTGCAAAAATTTTCTCCCATTCTGTAGGTTGCCTGTTCACTCTGATGGTAGTTCCTTTTGCTGTGCAGAAGCTCTTTAGTTTAATTATATCCCTTTGATCAATTTTGGTTTTTGTTGCCATTGCTTTTTGTGTTTTAGACATGAAGTCCTTGCCCATGTCTATGTTCTGAATGGTATTGCCTAGGTTTTCTTCTGGGGTTTTCATGGTTTTAGGTCTAACATTTAAGTCTTTAATCCATTTTGAATTAATTTTTGTACAAGGTGTAAGGAAGGGATCCAGTTTCAGCTTTCTACATATTGTTAGCCAATTTTCCCAGCACCATTTATTAAATAGGGAGTCCGTTCCTCATTTCTTGTTTTTGTCAGGTTTGTCAAAAATCAGATGGTTGTAGATGTGTTGTGTTATTTCTGAGGTCTCTGTTCTGTTCCACTGGTCTATATCTCTGTTTTGGTACCAGTACAATGCTGTTTTCGTTACTGTAGCCTTGTAGTATAATTTGAAGTCAGGTAGCCTGATGCCTCCAGCTTTGTTCTTTTCACTTAGGATTGTCTTGGCAATGTGGGGTCTTTTTCAAGTCCATATCAACTTTAAAGTAGTTTTTTTTCAATTCTGTGAAGAAAGTCATTGGTAGCTTGATGGGGATGGCAGTGAATCTATAAATTACCTTGGGCAGTATGGCCATTTTCACAACATTGATTCTTCCTATCCATGAGCATGGAATGTTCTTGCATTTGTTTGTGTCCTCTTTTATTTTGTTGAGCAGTGGATTTTAGTTCTCCTTGAATAGGTCCTTCACATCCCTTGTAAGTTGGATTCCTAGGTATTTTATTCTCTTTGAAGCTATTGTGAATGGGAGTTCATTCATGATTTGGCTCTCTGTTTGTCTGTTATTGGTGTATAAGAATGCTTGTGATTTTTGCACATTGATTTTGTATCCTGAGACTTTGCTGAAGGTGCTTATCAGCTTAAGAAGATTTGGGGCTGTGATCATGGGGTTTTCTAAATATACAATCATGTCATCTGCTAATAGGGACAATTTGACTTCCTCTTCTCCTAACTGAATACCCGTTATTTCTTTCTCCTGCCTGATTGCCCTGGCCAGAACTTCCAACATTATTTTGAATAGGAGCAGTGAGAGAGGACATCCCTTTCTTGTGCCAGTTTTCAAAGGGAATGCTTCCAGTTTTTGCCCATTTAATATGATATTGACTGTGGGTTCATCATAAATAGCTCTTATTATTGTGAGATGTGTCCCATCAATACCTAATTAATATTGAGAGTTTTTAGCATGAAGGGCTGTTGAATTTTGTCAAAGGTCCTTTCTGCATCTATTGAGAAGAGCAACTCCAAGACACATAATTGTCAGATTCATCAAAGTTTAAATGAAGGAAAAAATGTTAAGGGCAGCCAGAGTGAAAGGTCGGGTTACCCACAAAGGGAAGCCCATCAGACTAACAGTGAATCTCTCCGCAGAAACTCTACAAGCCAGAATAGAGTAGGGGTCAATATTCAACATTCTTAAAGAAAAGAATTTTCAACCAAGAATTGCATATCCAGCCAAACTAAGCTTCATAAGTGAAGGAGAAATAAAATCATTTACAGACAAGCAAATGCTGAGAGATTTCGTCACCACCAGGCCTGCCTTACAAGATCTCCTGAAGGAAGCAGTAAACATGGAAAGGAACTACCAGTACCAGCCACTGCAAAAACATACCAAATTGTAAAGACCATCCATGCTAAGATATAGACAATTCTTTATCTAATCTTTTGTGAAGAAAATTAAACAAAAAAAAAATCCAAAATTCAAATCCAGGAATCACTCCACATCACGTTATATTACTATTCTGCTATAATTAGTTTAGGAAAAATAAATGTGCTCTTAGGCTAATTTTTAAATAAATAAAATTTGAGATCAATTACAAATATGTGGTGAGAATACATATGTGTGTGTGTGCCATTTTGTGTGTGTCTGCATGTTGTGCTTGCATATAACATGTCAAAGTTCTGAGTGAGATTTTTCTCTGTGTTGTACCTATAATAGCTAACATGTCAGATCACTTTCTATATATGCCAAACTCTGGGCAATATGGTTTACATTATGAATAAACTCATCTAATTTCTTTGAAACAAATATTATATTGATATTATCAAAATAATATTTATAATATTGAAAATCATGAAGTGGAAAGGCAATGTACAAATCAACATCTTATAAAATAATATTGTTGCTGGGTTCCCTACTTCTAATATCTTACTCAATGGCACATACTATATTATTTCAAAAAATGCAGATTTAAGGTATTTCCACATTTGGGTCTATAATAATAATATTCTGTATAATTTTTCTTTTTTTGTAGTGCCATGAGAACGGTGAAAGACGGTTCTATCAGAAAACAGCTCCATATGTCCCAATGTATTATGTGCCAAATAGCTATCCTTATTATGGAACCAATTTGTACCAACATAGACCAGCTATAGCAATTAATAATCCATATGTGCCTCGCACATATTATGCAAACCCAGCTGTAGTTAGGCCACATGCCCAAATTCCTCAGCGGCAATACCTACCAAATAGCCACTTACCCACTGTGGTACGTCGCCCAAACCTACATCCATCATTTATTGCCATCCCCCCAAAGAAAATTCAGGATAAAATAATCATCCCTACCATCAATACCATCACTACTGTTGAACCTACACCAGCTCCTACCATTGAACCAACAGTGGACAATGTAGTCACTCCAGAAGATTTTTCAGAGTCCATCATCACGAGCACCCCTGAGACAACCACAGTCTCAGTTACTACACCTACGGCATGAAAACACCAAGGAAATACCAAAGAAGACAACACAGGTAAATGAACAATATACAAAATGAATAATTCTGACAAGAAGCATGGATTTATGAATACAACCATAAATTCTAAAATAGTACAAATAGATAAACTAAGTGTATTACAGAAGCAGAAAAAACAGGGTACTTACAATTTTACCTTGGTAAACCCATAGCATTGATATACCAGATTCTGTTCCAACTAGAAATTTAAAATAATTTTATTTGACAAAGTGAAAATAATTGGCAACTTTATTATCAAACTTTTTTATGACAATTGGGACACTCTTAGAATCTAATAGTTTTATTTCATCCTTATTCACACACAAACTATGACAGTAGAGTAAAACAGCAAGTAACACTTTCATGATTTTTATTTCAAAAGTAATTTTAGAAGAAGTTATATAGAATATGGGTTTAAGTAAATTTTAATTCTGTAACAATTCTCTTGCACTCTCATTGTAGTATGAAGAGTGAAAGGAACGATATGTTTCCATGCATTTCTTTATTTCAGACATCACTTCCAAATGATTCATGAAGTTAAGCCTCTCATATTTCTCCTATTCTAAGATAAACCCATGGAAGAATTATAATGCTTAACTTGAAAAACATAAATATTAAAAGGATACTTTCAGAACACTGAATGTGATGCAAAATGTTACTATTTATTACTTGGACCAATGGATAATGGTAGAGTTTAAAATAATCTGAAACTTATGAGAAGAATTTAAACAAATAGAATGATTAACAAAGTGAAAAATATCCAAAGAGTGTAAAATACTTTGGGGAGGCTGGGCGTGGTGACTCACGCCTGTAATCATAACACTTTGGGAGGCCGAGGCGGGTGGATCACAAGATCAGGAGATCGAGACCATCCTGGCTAACATGGTGAAACCCCTTCTCTACTAAAAATACAAAAAATTAGCCGGGCTTAGTGGCGGGCGCCTGTAGTTCTAGCTACTCAGGAGGTGAAGCAGGAGAATGGCATGAACCCAGGAGGCAGAGCTTGCAGTGAGCCGAGATCGCGCCACTGCACTCCAGCCTGGGCGACAGAGCGAGACTCCGACTCAAAAAAAATAAAAAATTAAAAAATTAAAAACACACTTTGGGGAGAAAATTGCAAAATTTTGAGTTTCTTTGCAACAAATATTTTCAGTCCATCAGATATTTACATGTTTTATGATCTAAAATACCAGACAATGGTCTGCGATATCATGGGACTACTATTAGCCCAGAAAAGGTTGCTTCTTTCATCTTCTTGCCTAATGACCATAGGCTGGTCATTACTTTCTCTGAATTTTTATTTTCTCATTTCTGGTTGCTATGAGACTCAAGTGAGAATGCACATGTGAAAGGATTTTAAAAACTGATCAATCTGTAAAATGTCATGTATTGGAAAAGATAAAGTAAAATTAATAAATATTAACATTTATTTTTAACCAATATCCTAAGTCTCCACCAAATGATAAAAATTGTGCATAATTATGTCTGTTGATTCCCATAGTGACTATATGAAACAGATACTATTCCTATCTCAAATTTAGGGATAAAAACCAGTAGGACTGAGGACATTAAGTAAATTATCACAGCTAGAACATGCAAATGGGAGGCAAACCAAACCTGTTTAATATCAGACAGTGGGGCTTAATTACTATGTCATTTATTTTTATATGGGCTAACTTGCCAAAAACCAGAAAAATACACTGTGATTTCCTTAGACTAGCGTATGGGTAAAGTGTGTTGTTTAGTTGCTGTTCAACAGGATATCTGTTAAGAAAAAGAGAATAAGAGCTGGTTAGACAGCTGGCTTATCCTATTTTTGAAAACAAAATAAGAAAATTTTATTAAAGACCACATGAAAGCAAGTTATTTAATAAGTAGTTACATATTTTACTGATGCAAAATGTAAAGAAACATGTAAAAGACAGTTTTTCTGTAAATATTACATGTCTATTATTTTCAGTTTACTATATGCCTATTTTAAATATTTAAATTTAAATATTTAATCTCATTAACTTATGGGATACAGACAAAAAAGAAAAATTATGGAAGCTAAATAAATATGTATCATGAGAACTGTTAACACACTATGAATAAATTTCTAAACTATCTTTATTTTTTATAGGACTTGCTGAAACCAAACGACTACTTCACACTCCTTCAGTCATTTGTCCACCTTCAGTCAATTGAAAATGTGATTTTCACAGATTCAGCTCTTCTCTCCTTACATTTTACATTCATGCCACATTCAATATTTTGATTCTTGCACAATAAAGCCAACTGATTGCAACTGATTCTTTGAGAGGAGTTTGCAAAGGGACCTCAGGGATCTCTGAAACTTTGAAATGCTGACAAATTTAGTGTGAGTTAGAGTACACAAATTTACCTAAAAGCAGAGTTCATAGTTTCATCAGGTTCTCAAAAGTGGTTCATGGTCTGACACTAAGAATTTCTCCTCTAGGATGACACTGGGACCAGAGAAGAGCCAAGCCATAGTGTTCCAATCCAGGGGACTACAGAACGACTCTTGAGAGCTATGGGAACTCTAGAGTTAGAATTAAATTTAAGTGCCCAAATGTATTTCTAACGTTAGTCTAGATTATTCCTAAGAGCAAATTCTGGGCACAGGCAAATTACAAATGTCCACAATTACAAACACAGATACGTTGCAAAATTATAAATGTTGACAGAGACTCTAGACATGCATGACCATATCTCCCCACACTGGAAGCCACAGTCTCACATCTGTTCAAACACTCACACACACACATCACATATCAGAAAGCTTCTGGAATTCAGGTATTCCAGTTCGGAAAAACTTGTAAATATTCAAGGTCCAAGGATATGACATAGCTGTTTTCTTAAACAAATATTGCAAGGAAAATCAGGTCACCTTTGTGCTTGGTCATATTTAACATGCCAGAAAAAATAAAACTCACTCAGCCCTTACAAAATGTTTACTGGTCATTTATCTAATCTGCTGTGACTCCCAACAGATGTGTTATTATTAGGATTGATTTACAGTCTTTTACCTGCTCTCTCACTCAAATGGAGAGTCTGCAACAGAGGCATGGAAGGAATATGACATGACTAGACCTTATTTGCTATGACCGTTAATGATATTATTAATTTCTTGAAAAACAAAGTAAATATGTGGAAAAGGCAAAATTTATATCATTAAAAATCTTATCACCTATTATATACAAGGTATTTCAAGAACACAAACAATAATAATGGCTGATAACAATAAGTAACAAGCAATTATAAAGTACATAATATTTGCCAATCTTCTATTTGTTTGTATGTATTTACTCATTTAATATGTAGTCATGAACTACATATATTTGTTCTTGTTGTTATTATAAGTGAAAGAGAAATGAAGTAATTTTCCCCATGTGAGGCTGAGATTTGAACTCAAAGTCTTGCTTTAAAGTCCATGCTCTTTAAAAACCGACACATGGAACAGCGTAAAGAACCCATACATAAACCTGAACGTATGCAGTCAATTAATTTTCAGTAAGGGTGCAAAGAAGACACAATAGCAAAATTATAGTCTTTTTAATAAATGGTGCTGGAAAAACTAGATATCACATGCAAAATAATGATATTGGACCCATATGTTACACCATACACAAAAATCTGCTCAAAATGGATAAAAAGTCAATGTAAGATTCGAAACCTTAAAATTGCTAGAAGAATACATAGGGAGAAAGCTCCTTGACATTGGCCTTGGCAAAAATTGTTTTGGATATCACACTAAAAGCTCTGGCTACAAAATCAAAAATAAGTAAATAAACTACATCAAACTAAAAAGCTTCTGCTCAGCAAAGAAAATAATCAACAAAATAAAAACCCCATATGTTGGGAGAAAATATTTGCAAACCATTTATCTAATAAGGGATTAATATCCAAAATACATAAAGAACTCACATATGAAAGGATGATCAGCATCACTATCAAGAAAATGCAAATCAAAACCACAATAAGATATCACATCACATCTGTTAGGATGACTTTCAAAAAGACAAGGGATAACAAGTGTTGACAAGGATGTGGACAAAAGGGAATCTTTGTGCATTGTTGGTGGGAATGTAGATAGGTGCAGCCATTGTGAAAAGCAGTGTGGAGGTGCCTATAGAAAATAAAAATAGAATTAGTGTATGACCCAAAAGACCCTTTTCTGGGTATCTACTCAAAGGAAATGAAATCACCCTTCGAAACGATATTTGCACTCTCTTGTTCATTGCAGCATTAGTCATAACAGCCAGTGTGGAAAAAACCTAAGTGTACATCAAGGGACATGGATAAAATATGTTGAAACACACACACACACACACGCACACACACACAAACACACAAGGATATTATTCAGCCTTAAAAAAAAGAAAGAGATTCTGCTATTTGCCACAACATGGATGAACTTTGAAGTTGTAGGACAGAAAGCTAATTTCACTTACATGTGGAATAAAAAAAAAAAAAAATCTGTCAAATACATAAAAACAGAGAACAAAATGGTAGCTACCAGGGATGGGCCACACTGGAAAGATGTAGGTCAAAGAATACAGAGTTGAATGCAGGATGAATAAGTCTAGAGATCTAATGTACAACATGAGAACTACAGTTAATAATATTGTATTTTATTTGAGGTTTTTGTTAACAGATTTTTGGTGCTCTTGACATACACAAAAATGGTAACATTGTGAAATGATGAAAGTGTTAATTTGCTTGATTGTAGTAACCATAGCACTATGTATATAAAAAATTATGTTGTATACCTTAAATATGTAAAATAAAAAATAAAAAGTCTATGCTCTTAATCATGTAAAAACTACTATAAAATCATTTTCAATGTGGCAAGTGAAATAAAATGTGAAGCAAAATACTTTGAAACAAGAAAAACATTCTTAATATTGGCTCATATTAATATGATTATGTCTCATTAAATAACATTAATAATGAGTTGCCAAAAGTAATATTTAAGTTAAACACTTACCTCCCAGATATGATGTTAATCCATATTTGCATCAATTGGATTAACTAACTGGAATATGTACTTAATCCCTCAGCTACTATTTTTACATGTTCACAAAATACATTGTTGAGCTGCTTATCTTTGACTTGGATAAATTACTTCGGATGCAAGGATTCATCCAGGTAGAAGTGGTTTGTTACACATGAGAAATTCGGTTGTTGGCACAGAAGAGATCTGATCTGGAGATGGTCACCTGTAGTCATTTACTTCTGTCGATTACTAGTTGATTGCTCACTGTAAATACAGCATGTTTCCCTCCCACCTCTAAGACATCATAGTAAAATGAGACTTGGAAAAACATTTTATTTCTCAATCCTGCAAAATAGCCATATTTGAAAGTTCCCAGGTACTCAGAATCCAGTGCTACATTATATAACAAGTGTTTACATAGCACTTTAAAATGTATAAAGCACTTGTACACATGCTGACCTTTTAATCTTCACCAATAAACTCTTGAAGTAATTTGTTATTGATCCTCATTTTACATATGTGGAAACAACTCCACATGGACAAACATATGGTAGTGAAAATGTATAGGGTTCATATTTGTATAGAATCTGATCAAAGTGTCAGCTCAATATTAGCTGTGTAACTTTGGGTAATAAATATAATGGAAAGTATTATTTATTGATTTATTGATGTACTGTCAGGCTCTATAACAAGGGTTTTATAGGTATTTATTTTATATTGCATTCTCTTAGGAAAGTACTATTATTATACTTATGTAGATATGAGGAAATTGAGGCTCAGAGGGATTAAGTAATTTGGTTAAGATAAGAAAATACTGAGTAGTAGAATTTAGCTTTGAACTCTAGCAATTCAATCCACCAACCCTCATTATCATAACACTAGGACATATAACCTTTACTCTGATTAGAGTATTCAAGGTATTAGAGTACCTTATTATCATTGTCATATCCATTATCATATCACTAGAACATATAACCTTTTATCTGATTAAAGTAATTAAGGTATTAGAGTACGTTATATTAGTTGGTCATTCAATAAATGTTCATTCATTTATTCCTTAACTCCCTAAGTGATATTGCCAAGGACATCTGTTGTCCTTAAGATAAAGTCCATTTTCATAGTCCTGTTGTTTACCTTCCCACTTCATTTCTCTTCATTAGATCATCATGCTATTCACCCCAGTGACTCAAAGACTTCTGTCACTGCTTTAGCTATACCATCACCATCCTCCAGCACTTTTCTGAAGCTGCTCAGATCACCATGATAATTCATAGCATCTAATCAAAATTTGAATCCCTGACTTATATCCTTGAGGAAATAGTTCCTGAACTTCCAAAATCAAGTGATCCACTAATGTGCCACCCCGCATCCTGCCCCTCCCAGCTCCTCTGTCCCTTAATACTCGTTAAACTCAATGATACTGGCCTCTCCACCTCTCCCACCAGGGCTATAAACCCTAGAGACTGTGTTCTGCTCACCACTGTCTCTCCAAGGTGAGGTCTAATAGAGCGTAGCAGCTAAATAAATATTTGTTAAGCAAATAAACAAGGAAAGGAAAAATGGATTGTTGGTGACTAAAGTAGAAATACTGATTTAATTGAATTAAATAGCCTAGGCTTTTCTTACCAAAATCCAGAAAGAAAAAGCAGTGTTGACCTTAACAGTTCACTAGTGATTATGAATCAAAGCTATCAAAGGCAATGATACACTGTCAGGCCAACTTTAAATACAAAAGAAAATTACTCAAATTATATTATCAATCACA